AAACTATCGTTAAAAAGAAACAACTACCGGGAGTTTTATATTATAAAAGAAAAGAAAAGACCTACGTACTTGATTTATTTAATTGAGCAACACCATGTGAAAGTTATTAAGACCAAAATAATCAAAACATAATTTAATTTCAAAAGTCAAGTTATAGCTAACCATATTTTATCTATAAATATTTCGATATTATTTAGGCCGATTCAACTTTAACTTGCAAATACAAATTGACATCTGAGAGCAACTAATCGAACCATTTCATGTCTCGAGATCGATCTAAGCATGTCATAATTGAAAAGGTATTAATGTTGATATTAATCAAGTTAACCATTTGATTTATGAAACATCGAATTATAAACCTAAATTTCTTTTATTAAAAAAAACATTGAATAAACATTAATCAAGTTAACATTTATGTTGAAATTCGTAAGCATAGAACATGGTAAACATTACTTCTAGCGCGTAGCTTATGTCGTTATGAAGGTGACTCAACAAGAACGGGCTAAAACGGAGCTAAAACGTGCAAACTATGGCTAAAACTGGCTTCTAGGGACCTATCCGTGATGAAACACTAAATCTAGGGCCTAACAAATGAAACCAAGGACCTAAACATGATTAATCGTGGGCACTGAGGGTTAACTCGCAAAACCAACTGGGTAGGACGGTGGGTTCTATTTTGATAAAAGACAGGAGCAAAAACAGAAAACGCGAGGGCCTATCTCTCATTACTTTCTACATGCTTGGGACTGCGGGTTAATTATTGAAAACATAAGGCCTCTTTTGGAAAAGTGTGATGACTGGCTGGGTTGACCCAGTCTTTGCCGACGTGGAGGCCACGCGGCGCTCTTGGATTGGCCCACAGAGGTGGACCGGCTGATTTGGAACCGGTGGGCGGAGTCCATGGTGGACCGAAGGGGTATGGGAGGCTGGGATCTAATCATGGCAGTGGACCTAAAGATGGATGGCTCTGGATGGAACTGGATTAAGGTCACCAGCACAGTGCTGGTGTACAGCGGCACCATGGACAACAAGGCTCGGTCCTCGCCGGAGCGGCGATTCCGGCCACTAGTGTTCATAGGATTTGCGCTATGGTGTAGAGTAAGGCCTGGTGAACTTGGCTAGAGGATCGGTGGCGCCGGTGGATGGCCAGAGGTGGCGCTTAGCTCGATCGGGCGGCTCGGTTCTTGCCGACGATGCTCTAGTGAGCAGGACCGAGGGATGGAGAGCAAAAGGGAGAGAAAGGAAGGTACCGGCATTTCCCTCACCTTGTCACGAAGCTCAGGCGGTAGTTCTCGTCGCTGGGGACGCAGCCACGGTGGAGATCGACGGTGGCGGGTCATGCTCGGGGGCGGCGCGGGCAGGGTCTACAGAGTGGGAAGGCGGCTAGGTTTAGGATTCAAAGGGGGCGGTGCACGCTGGGGTTGCATTTTATAGGGCCTATGGCGTGGGGATTAAGCCGAATCCCGTAGAAATCGGGATCGGGTTCCATAGGGGAGGAGTCCGGCTTGGAGACGGGAGGAGGAAGACGTGGCTGACAAGCGGGCCTGAGACGTCAGCGAATGAAGTGGACGGTCCTGGTTATCAGACAGAGAGATGGGGGAGGCGGGGACGCATTCGGGTGGGCCTTCGGCCTATCTAGGCCGAAGTGGCACACTGGGCCGCGGGAGAGAGAGTGAAGGGAGCTGGGTCTGCAGAGTTGAGCGGGCCTACACGGGAGAGGGCAAGTGAGTGGAAAGGGAGAGTGGGTTGTGGATTGCTGTCGGCCCACGCAGGAGAGAGAACAGGGGTAGGCCGGTCTGGGCCTATAGGCCTAAAACCAGAGAGGGAGGGAGAGAGGGATTCTTTTCCTTTTCTTTTTCTTAAACCATTTTTTCAAAAGCGTTTTCAAATGGATTTTGAATTCCTTTTCAGTTTTGGTCAAAACCACACATTCAAATAAATCATGTGAACCCGCATGAATGCTCAAACACGTTTCTACATCTTATGATAAATTTTAAATAAATGAAAATATTATTTTTCTATATTTTCATGAGCACAAAAATACAGAATTAAATTAGTTTAACTATATTTCGAAAGTAGCAAACTTTAGGGTGTTACAAGAAAAAGTATGTGGACCGCCTTGAAAAAATTGGTCGTGGGCTCCTGTGAGCCCACATAAATTTGTCACTTAAAAGAATTTTGGTGTGGACTGGTTAGAAAAAATGGGTTGAAATAAGCTTTAAAAAATAAATGGGCTGCATAAGCTTCAAAAATAAGATGGCCCCGATAAGCGTTAAAAATAAAATGGGCCTTAGCAATGAACTTGCTTTATAATCCTGGCTGTTATATGGGCATAAACAAGCCAAATTCAGCTTTATGATGTTTGTAGACTCCACCACCTCAGCGACATGTCAATAAGCTATGATATTTGGCATCTGCTTACGTGGCGTTGTCTAAGATGCTATGACATGAAGCAAATGACATAAATATTTGTGACGTCCAAAATCAATATCATAATGTTATGACATGAACACCTAAAGGTCACAAGTTGTTGTTTAAGCCGCTCATCATTTGACATTTGATTTTTTATCAATTTGGTGTCACAAATGGTGACATGTGACATATTTCCCAGATATTATGACCTATGTCCGATGTCAAAAGATGCCACATTTCTTGTAGTGACCATGAAATTTTATGCAGCTGAAGAGAGTTCCTGCCCTTCAAAACCATCTTTGGTTGCTATGGCTGTTGTAGGTATTCATGTAAAGCTATATATGCATAGATATTTTTTCCTTCAAAATCAAGTTTGATGATTTTACCTTGGACTATTGTTCCAAAATATAACCATTTATATTCTATAGGAACAACAGACCGTAGTATTTGGTATCAATTTATTATGAAAATGTATTTCATAATTAATCTAATAATATTTATTTGATATCATAAATACTGATATTTTAATCGATAATTGGTCAAACTTAAGATACTAAAACATGACACTGTGCTAGAATTTTATACTTTTTGGGATGGAGGGAGTAGTTGGTTGCACATTACGAGGAGTCAATAAATGCTAAGTTTGACCAAGTATATACAAAAATATTAATATTTATTATACCAAATAAACATCATTAGATGAATCGCATCTTATATTTTCATAGTAAACATATTTAAAGATACAAATATTAATATTATTTTCTAAAAATCTGGTCAAAGTTGAGAATATTTGATTCTTGTGAGATGTGCACTTATTTTGGGACGTTAGGAGTAATGATGAGAGATAACCACACAATTACATAACGCATGCTTTAACTAAATCACTACTAATTGATTGATTACTAGCCACGGTAGGAAATTAAATTAGCACAAAGTTTGAAATGTTGAATATTTTACATATTTCAAATCCAGATCTACAATCAGATGACAAAAAATCATAGAAAATGTATTTAGTATCTATATTTATATTGATATTAAAAAAAGATATCGAATCATTATGACCTTGTATACCGGATTGGATGAAAAAAAATTATGCTAGTTTATTAAACTGCTAAATGGATTTTAGTGAACTAAGTATGTATGAAAATTTTGGTGCGGCGTACCCATAAAAAGAATCCTATGCCTGCCACTGCTATTAGATTTATAATTAAATATATTCCCTTTGTCCAAAAAAAAATACAAATCTCACACCATATCATTAAATTTGTCATGAGATATTTTTTTTAATATACACCAACACTAATATATATATATATATATATATATATATATATATATATATATATATATATATATATATATATATATATATATATATATATTTGGTCGAACTTTAAACGCTTTAACCGAAAATGCATTTAGAGTTGCATTTCTTTTTAGTACACAAGAAATACAAGTATTAGTTGCATGCATGTATGCCACCTTTTTCTACTTGCAGTACTAGGAGGCCCAAGAACACATGGTGCATGGCCACTGAAAAGACTACTCCTAAGGGTATGCTCTAGGCCCCTAGCTAGCTAGCTAGTATTAGTTGTTAGGGGTAGTTCAATTTTTCTCTCTTGGCACGCATCTGTTTTTAATTAGAGTTTCTTCCTCCCTTGTCTTTTCACTGAGGTGCACAGCAGCATATTGCCTGCACTGCCTCCCTCGAGCCGGTCGCATGTGCCTTGTTGACACCTAAAGTGGCAAACCCTTTATGGAAGTCTCACTTATGAAGCTTTTGTAACTTTTTTAAACCCCAAAATTAGGAAATTAATTTTGTCATCCTCTAGCTAAGATTACTTGTTTCATTATTACTATCTCAAGATCACATTGACCTAATTTTTGTCTGGGTGGTTTACCGTTTACAGATGTTTAGAAAATAAATCAAATTTGCTTCTCAGTTTCCACAGTTGCTTACTACCCTCTGTTTGTCATATTAGTGTTAATGAATTCTACAATTATGCTATTTTCAAGTAATGGAATTCAGGGCATTACCGTGCTATTGAGAAAAAAAAAACTGTACTTGTTCTTGGTGAGGTCACGGCGGTGTCTGAAATTTTTGGTGGGGAAAGACATAGAGCTTTTGTGCCGTTACTTGTTTATGTTGACAAGTAACACACAGTTTTTGCTGGCGTTACGTTGCCTAGAGCATGTGCTGGGAAAAATTAAGAGCCAGGAGGAATCTTAGAAAGAAAGAAAAGAAGTGATCACATGAAGATGGGCACGTCTGCTTTCCCTTCTCTAAATAAAGAGACCTGCGTCACCTTGGGGATCAGACCAATGCACAACCTCTGGTGTCACCAACTTCTGGGGTATATCGCCTTCCTTGCAACAGCGTTATCACCATTGGTCATACCAGCTTCCCTCTTCCAACCAGCTGCATCCAACATGCAACCTGTGGTGCTGAGATCTCGGCACCCCAAAGCCCACCTCATCGACAGTCCATCCGTGTGACTCTACGCCATCTGTATATATTGCATCTGGCCGGTCGCATCAGCCACCACCGTCGAGCACGCTGAGCCTCCGCTGTCCAGTTCGAGACCACTATGCCAAGTGAGCACCACCTGTTCGAGATTGCGGCCACTGGGCTCGGCGGCGGTTCTCCTGGTCCTCACTTCAAGATCTCTTCTGACTTGGACGACTCTTCTTGGTCTCCCTGCATACAAGGCTACAACTGGCGATGCGTCGACTGCACTGATCCCGCTGCTGGTACAACGTCGTTCACCCTCTGTCTCCCTTACAGCAGCACCCGAGAGCCCCTTAACGCATCGTTCAAGCTCAGCCTGCTCGACCGAGGTGGCTGGCCGGTTCCGTTCAGGACCCGAGCAATCTCGTTCCAGAACTGCGTGATCCCGCAGATGCTGCAGTGGGAGTGTCCCGGCTTCATCACCAGGGACGATCTGCAACGGCAGGAGTACCTTACCAAGGACGGCCGCTTCACCGTCCGGTGCGACATCGCCGTCAAGCCCTTCACGGCTAAGGAAGACGTCTTCTTCGTCACGGTGCCCCCGTCCGACCTTCACCGGCACCTCGGCGACCTGCTGGCGCGCAAGGACGGCGCGGACGTCACCTTCCAGCTAGTCGAAGGCGGCGAGACGTTCTCCGCGCACCGGTGCGTGCTCGCGGCGCGGTCACCGGTGTTCAGAGCGCAGCTGTTTGGCGAGATGATGGAGAGCAAGAGCGCGGCCAGTGGCGTCATACCGACTGAGGACATGGAAGCGCAGGTGTTCAGCTCCCTGCTGGCCTTCATCTATACACTGAGTCACTGCTGGAGACTGCCGACGACAACACCGAGGAAGACGGTGATGACGACGAAGCGATGCCGGTGACGACGAAGCATCTGCATGACGCCGCTGACAGGTACGGCCTCGAGAGGATGAAGCTGGTTTGCCAGGAGAAGCTGTGCAAGCACATACGTGCAGGCTCCGTGGCGGCGATGCTGGCTTTGGCTGACCGACACCACTGCCCTGGGCTCAAGGAGGCGTGTTTTCATTTCTTCACTGCTAGTGCCAATCTTGACTCCTTCACTCAAACGGATGGCTTTGAGGTGCTCAACGCTAGCTGCCCAGCTGTTCTCAAGGAGCTACTGGCCAGGCATGCAACCGTTTTGATCTTTTGAGTTTTGATGAGTAGAGTAACCGTGGACAATGGTTTACAGTTTCGTACAAGGGTGCTCGTTTCACATGAGCATAAGATTTCCCATATTACATCTCCTATAAATTGTTTTAAGACAGTAAAGCACAGCTGCAGCACATTACCTAAAACTTGTCTTCTATATTTTTTAAGGAAGAGGGGGTTGTCTCTTTTATTTAGGAGAGATGATGCTTCCTTGCTGAAAAATTATAAGTATAGGAGTTTTTTTTAATTAAGGAATAAGGTTCCAGCCTCCACTATAGGTGTATATAGGAGATTAGACAGGATATCCGATGGAGATGTTTTAGATTACTTTTAATTAGGTCACTTATTTCAGTAGGCAGGCCTCTCCTGAAAAGATGTGATTCCTGTAGCTCTGTCTTTCTTGTGTCATTGTCCTTTGTAAACTTAGGTCTTGTTTGGACGCATATGTATCCATCTCAATCCACGTGTGTTGAAGTGAATTGGAGTGGAATTAAACTAAGTTCTATTTCAATCCACTCTAACACATGTGGATTGAAGTGAATACACATATATCCAAACAAGGCCTTATGTGTGTGGAATTCCTCAATCCACATTCTGAATGGTTTCTTATTTCATATATATCATTTTCTTCTAGAACAGCTTACAATGGCTAGCTTTGTCAGTCTTGTTTGGATGCACTCGTAACCATCTCAATCCACATGTGTTGGAGTGAAACTTAAACTATTTTCCACCCCAATCCACTCCAACACATATGGATTGAGGTGGATATGAGTGCAGCTAAACAAGGCCTTAAGATAAGTTCTGTTTTCCATTCTTTTGCTATATCTTTAGTACAGCTTTACTTTCTGCAATCTGGTATGGAGGACAAACAGAGTTACTGCAGTTTGCATTTGGAGATGAAACTTTCTCTGTATATGGAAACGGAACTTACTGCAATAATCTGCATATGAAGGATCAAAATAGCTAATTAAAATGTTTTCTTTGAATGTTGTTTGTTCTCCCCTGATGTTGCCCATGATGTTTAACACAGCCAAAGATAACACTTATTTTCGTTTAAGTTTCTCAAATCAGGTGCTCTCTCTACTTACTACAGTTATTCATGGTCATGCACACATTTTTCATATATGAGAATCTTTGTTTGATTTTTGAATGGTACGTGTTCACTGATTTTCTTATCTTGAAGAACCTTGCAAAAATAATACTATTTGTTCTTTTAAAAATTGGGCATGCTTAACATGGATTTTTAGCAAACGTATAATCTTTTAGTGGTGCAACTTCGGATGTTAGGTATATGTTATCTTTACACATGTTTATATTAGGATTGGATGTGAATATGAAATTTTCTGCTAGAAATAGAAACCGATAGTTCGAAACACACATTGTTTGATAACAAATCGACAATATTTATAGAGCATGTTAGCCTAAAAACATGCCATACTTAGATATCAGTTAAATGTGGACACGTGTGGGTGCGCGTGTGTGCGTGCCTTTTTACTAGGTTGGTCTAGTAATTGGTGACCATATTCAGATGATGGGAGTCATATAATACTTTCAACAGTAGACTTATGTTTCAGTCTACCATCATTAACATTGATCCATGCTTATTATGTGTTGGCATGTTATTTTACTCATGTAGCTTTATTTTGCTGTGTAATAAACAGACTATATACATGGAGTACGATAAGAATGATTGTGTAGCCTTTGCTTTTTTACAAGTATATATCAACTCATGTTTTTACTTACAAGTGATGTTTATGTTCATACCCAAGAAATAAAGTATGGCAGTCTTTGTAGTGTCAGATGATTTGCAAGGAGGCAGCCCCTTTCTTGCTTGCTGTTTTTAGGTAGATTACTACATACTGTTTATTATTTTCCCTGTGCTTTGTGTCAAATTAAGGTCCCTATTTGTTGACTTTGTACAGAATTGGTTGCTGATGGTATAGTTTTGTTTTACTAATATTGGTCACGCTGAGAGAAGCAGCCCATCTGCAAAGAATGGAGATTTGACATGGAGAACATTTCGGCATAACACTAAGGAGCTGTTTGGCTGGTGCAACAGTAACGTAAACGTAAATAAAATTAGTTCAATTGTGTTTACCTCTGGTAACGACTGCAGGTTTAAATCATTTGCGTTTGCCATACAGAAGACGGAACCAAACAGCTCGTAAATCTGTCAAAACAGTCCAATGAATCATGTTTTCATACCTGTAGAAATTGGCTAGGTGTGTACGCGCACAGATGAAATTACATAAATTACTTCTTGTAGCTTTTTGAGAGAAATATGTCATAGCACTAATATTTCAGATAGTTGACAGTTCATAAAGTTCTCACGTTAGTCCTGACATTATGACAAGAGTGAATGCTAGATTAGCTCTCCACGTCAATTGTACGTCAGTCATGTGTGTTTCTATATTTTAATAATTTTCTACTGTTGCTACATGGGATTAGAAGGCTTTAATATGTTATTCCTGTTCAACAATCATTAATGCAAGATCTGCTAAACCAAACTCAGGATATGTCTATACATGGTATTTCAGCAGCCATTGCATGTTTCCATCTAAGTTAAGTTAGCACAAAAAATAAGAATCCTCAAGTTTTCTTTGGTCATGATTATTCTAAAACAATGTGTCAGCTGAAGTAATGAGCAGGATACTAGAGCGGGGTGAATCGGAGCCGAATAAAATTTCTCCAGCGAGAAACCGGCCTATGTTCCAAGCAAGCCACCGAACCGCTCACAAAACCCAAATTCTTCATGGTGAGTGACACGAGCCAACTGGTGACCAGAGGTACGCAAGAAGGTCCGGAGAACACAGTGGAACACACACGGAAGCACCACAGCAGAACATGCAGCCAGAGGGCAAAACATGCAAAGACGCTGCCGCACACCAGCAGGCAAACCGGCCTTCCACCACTGGCTTTGGTTCTTGACTAGGGCAGCTGAAAGGATCTATGGATGGCTAGAGGGGGAGGTCAATAGCCTAATAATTTTGTTTTACCAGCTCAAAATACTAAACAAGTGTGTTAGTAAAAGAGACAATCCTAATAGCCATTTCTTGTCTAGCCTAAACAATGCAAAGCAAGGCCCCTACACAAATCTAGTTACAAGAACAAGGAATTAAACACTCAACCAAGCAAGCAACTAGAACTAACACTTAGCAACCAGTAAGCTACCAAAGTAAGCAACAACTACACTACTAAAGCTAAGCTAGGTTACCAAGCAACAACACAAGCACAAGATATAAATTGTAAATGCAAGTGTTGCACTACTACAAAAATGATTTTGCGATACACTGCCCAAACATCAACGCAGACAGTCACAAAATTCAATCGTCTCCTAAAATACTCGAGTATTTTTGGAGGCAGTCATTTTATTTACAGAGGTCGTCACAATTGCCCGTCTCGCAAAATGGATTTACAGAGACGGACGTTTTATTTACGTAGGCTGTAAGATTTTGTCCGTCTGCTAAAATCGATTTACGGAGGCGGTCATCCTAAAATCGATTTATGGAGGCAGACCTCTTAAGAGGTCTACCAACGAAAATGGAGGCCATTTTTGGAGGCAAACCTCTTATGAGGCCTGCCTCTGTTAATCGTGGTTGAGGCCCAGCCAAAGCCCAAATTGGGCTTCTATAAGGCTTGTATAAAATCAGGAGTTAGGGTTTTCCGTTATCCAATCTCTCTCTTAGGCTCCTCCCTCTCCCGAGCGTGGCACCCCTCTCCCTCCCGCGAGTAGAGACGACATGCCCCTCCATTTCACTCTCCTTCTCCCCCGCAGCCGGCAGTCAAGGCACGACGCCCCTCCCTCTCCCACGTGTAGCAGCGCCTCTCTCTTTCCCTCCTTCTCCCCCAAAGTTGGCAGGTAGGTCGCGATGAATCCGCTCGGTGGTGGCGACGGTAGCTCCCGAGCCCGAGCGGCGGTGGCGCCGGTGTATCTCTCACCTCCCGACATGGATCTGGCCACCAACCGGCCACTAGCGGCGGCGGGGGCATGGAACGGTCACAAAGCAGCAGCGGGGGGCTAGGATCCGGCTACCACTGAGTGGATCCGGCCACCTGCTGCGGGAGATCGATCCGGCCGGGGCAGCAGCAAGCGTGGATCCGGACACCACTGAGAGGACCCAGTCACCAGATAGCAGGATGGTGTGCCCCTCTCCTGATGGCGGCCACTGTAACACCCTAAAATTTGCATAATTTTTAAATAGGAGAAAATGATTTAATTATGCATTGTTGTGGGCATTTGAATTTAAGAAAATAATAATTTTGTTAAAAATAAAATCAAATATAGGTCAACAAACATGTATGTGCATTCATATTGCTGCATAATATTTTGTGTTGTCTAGTTTGAAGTCATATTTCAAATTAATTTGAATTTGCATTTTGAAATTGCTTTGGAAAAATTGAAAAAGGAAAATGAATTTCCCTCCTTTCCCCTTTCCCTTCTTTCGGCCTGGTTGGCCTGCTCCTCTACGCCCACGGCCCGTTCCGCTTCTCCACGCTAGCCCAGCTCGGCCTCCCTCCTGCGCCTCGCTCGGCCTGCCTCTGCATGGCACGTCTCTCCCTATCCGGCCTGCCTTCCAGCACCAGCCCAGCTCTGTCTGCGTCGGCCCAGCAACAACGTTGGCCCAGGTCTGTGCTGTGCCCACATGTTCTCTTCCCTCTCTGAGTCGCTGACCGCCCTGGCCAGATTGTCAGGGTCACCGTTCGCCTTGCGTCATGTCCAAGCCGGACACCACCGCCGCCGTCGCCATGAATCCGCCTCCTCTACGTGCCATGCCATGAATCCCAAGACAGCCCCGCCTCATAAATAGCTGGCCGAGCCCGCGCCGCCTTCCTACTCCGCCTCAGAGCAACATTTCGCTCTCGCATCGAGCTCGCCGCCACATAGCCCTAGCCGCCGCCATTGCCATCCACCTCACCGAGCGCCACGCTGCCTACGTCACTTCCCCGCTTGTTGTTTCGGTTCCGGTGAGTTCCCCATCCTCTCCTCTCTCTCTCCTGGAC